ACAATTTAAAAATAATTTTACAATATACAGAGTGTCCCAAATAAGTAAAAAATATCAAAGTTGTATATTTTTAAATGGAACACCCTGTAAATTATTACATTTTTAGTTTCTACGATTAAAATAAAGGTAAATTTGATTAAGATTTATTATACTTAAACCTTACCGTTTTTGAAATATTTTCAATTTTGTGAAATTGCAGTAAAACTTTTAGGCTTCATTTCTCCAAGGGTATCAGTGTTTTTAAAACTAAATATTTACTGAAGTTTATTTTTAGTTTCTACGATTAAAATAAAGGTAAATTTGATTAAGATTTATTATACTTAAACCTTACCGTTTTTGAAATATTTTCAATTTTGTGAAATTGCAGTAAAATTTTTAGGCTTCATTTCTCCAAGGGTATCAGTGTTTTTAATACTAAATATTTACTGAAGTTTATTTACTGATCAGTTATTGTGTTACAATAATAAAAATAATACTACCTTATACAGAGTGTCTAAAAATTTATTTTAAATAATTATTAGCTTCAAACGGCAATAACTTGTTTAATTTAAATGGAACACCCTGTATATTTTACGAGAATCAGATGCACAATTTAATTGTCTATCAAATTATATTATATCATTTTTTACCTATCTATTTAAGTTTCCGTAGAAAATGCATTTTCTTGTAATTTAGAACTTATTTATCAATATACCCATGGACTATTGACATTTTAGATTATTTTTAAAGATGTACCAAATTTTTAAAGAGTACAGATACTAATATTGTCGATATAATTCGTTTATTTCATTAAAAAATAAAAAAAAACTGTTTAAATATTTGTTAAAGAGGATCAATTAATATGATTCCAGTATTCAAATTTCATTAACTGACTGTTTGCGTTGATGAATAATAATTGCTCCAAATACTAAAAAACTGAATTTTGTATGGGCATTAGACAGTGTGATAAAAAGTAACACCTTAAAAATGATATTTCATTTTTTAATAAAAGCTTATTTATAACAACAGAGACTAATTTGATAACTTATTATTATATTGATTTCTGACTCAAAAATCCACATTTATTTATAATAATTTATTAACGAACACAATTAAGTATGCCATTAATTAGAATATGGGCGGAAATAATGGTGTTATATTTAATTAATGGTATACTCTTTTATAAAGATTTAAATAGTTTTCTTTTTGCATACAAATGGGCTAGTAATATTATCGTTTTGCTAAAAACGATAATATTACTAGTCTGTACATTTTGTACATTTGTTGCTTTAAAAACAATCTAAAATACAATTTTGATATTTTTTATTTATTTGGGACACTCTGTATCTTGTAAAAATATTTTTAAATCGTAGCTCTAATAGTCCTTCAACGAACCCCAAACTTACAATTTGTAAAAATCTCATCGTTTAGCTACAATACTCCGTGTCCGTATGTGGTGAACAACCCTGTATATTGGTATTTATAAAAAAAACTTAAAAAAAGGAATTTTAACTTTATTTTTCTAGCAGCTCAAAAGTTTGTGCTTTTTTAATTAATGAAGTATTGCAATTGTTATAAATCAATTATATACCTACACAAGTAAAAAGTTAGACCTAGTGAGTTTTTCCAAAAAAAAAGCAACAGTTTAGAATGTTCTTGATATACTTCATATATACCTCTTAAAACGTTAAGTGCAACCTTGTACTCAAGAGCTGCTGAAAGGCTCGTGTTCCTGTAGATTCTCAACTCAAATGCTTTTTGCATAAAAAAATATTTTATTTATATTTTCTTAAAGCGGTGATATGTCCAGAATAAGAGTATTAATGTGTATAGATCTTGTAAAACAATTAGGTATATAAAAAATATCTATACCTATGTGGCGGATTCATCTCCCCAAAAAAAAACCTTTATGGGTATTTCGCCACTGCACTGCAAGAAAATCTACAAAATAAAATAGTTATTGTAAAATAAAAATAACTATTTTATTTTGCTGATTTTCTTACAGTGCAGTGGCGAAATACCCATAAGGGATTTTTTTTGGTTTTTACTGTTTTTGTACCGTTTGATGATAAAATAAAACAACATAAATTTCTAAACGACTTGTGTTATTCATTGCACAAAAAATAGTAAAACAAACATGATATATACAATATGTTACAAAACCTAAATATAAAAATTTGCGAGATCTAGTTATTAGTAAATAAGTATACAGGCCAAGATGCTAATAAAAATGATTTTTATATTATATATATCTAGAAGGTATTAAATATTAAAATTAAGAACTATAATAAACAAAAGAAATATGAGAGTTTCAGTTGAGAAATAATAAGTATTATATAGTAAAATATCATTTACGTCTGATAATAAAATTTTGAGATTTGATGAACTTAAAATAATTTTTTTAATATTCTTTATATATAAGTACTAAATTATAAATACTGACTTGTTCATTATAAAATATATAGTAATCAACTTATTCAAGGTTATTGTAAATTTATATCAACCACAAAAATATATTAAAAGTAGTTTTTCAATGAGGATGGCGAGAATCTGTAAAAATTGTATTATATAGATACTAGTACATGCGGGGTGTCTCATTTGGGTAAAAAAATGTACATGTACTGCCAAACAGCATTTTACTGCCAAGCGACTGCCAATGACTGCAAAGAAGATTGCCAATGACCAATGACTCCCCTATAATTATAGTCGACTGCCTTAAGGCTGATGCCAAAGACTACCAGCGACGGCCAAGACAATGTACATGTAATTATTCCAACAGTGAGACACTCCTTTCGAGTACCTACACTAAAATAATCACATACATCATAATTTCATTCAGCGTAAATGGAATCCAAAAGGAATATACGGGGTGCGTCTCAAAAGTAGCTCATCCCTATAACTTTTATTTTTTTAGATAAAAACGAGATTTGGTATGTACATAAATTAGGATTGATTGGCGTATTCAAGTGTTTTTGGTCACTTCCCATTTTACCAGAAATTACTACAACTTTTGATTTTTAAATGGCACCTTCGGTATATTTTTAATCTATTTGATAGAAAATGATATTCTGAATAGAATGACATAATATCATATCACTTTTAACATTTTCGGTCGCTTAAAAAAATCGTATTTTAAATTTCAATCTAGAGTGCCATGGATGTGTTAAAAACGCTAATTTTTAATCAAGGAGCATTGGAAAAATAGATTTGATCGTCTAATGATTTTCGTGTCTTGTTCTGGCCGGTTAAAAGATGCCCAAATCATATTTATAATCATATCTCAATTTTTTTCAAATGGAACAAGGGTGGCTCATTAGCATATTTGGAAAAAGTATTTTTTATGAATAATTTGGTACCACACACATGGTATTTCGAGTCAAATTGTCGTTATGAGTCGCATGTTACAATTTCAATTAAACCATATGCGGAAATGTCAAAAATTGACATATAATATGTCATTCTATTCAGAGTGTCATTTTCCATCGAATAATGTAAAAACATACCGAGGGTATCGTTTAAAAATCAAAAATTGTAGTCATTTCCGGTGAAACAGGAAGTGACCAAAAACAATTGAATACGTCAATCAATCCTAATTTCTTTCATATATTACCCTGCCAAATATCTTTTTTTTATCTGAGAAAATAAAAATGTTATAGGGGTGAGCCACTTTTGAGACTCACCCGGTATAGGTATTATAAAAATTGTGTTGAAATGTACAGCTTGTTATACAGAAATGTTGAACAAATATAAAATATACAATAGTATAGTAAAGCAGTATAAGAGTATATCTGTAGTCAGTTCGGATAGTACTGAAGAACGAAAAAAAAAATATTTACAAAAAAATGCAAGACAAAGTTTCCTTAAACAGTGTCAACAAAAGTGTAGTAATTTATTTTGTTTTCCAAAATGTGTACGGTGAAACCTCTATAGATGCATCTACATAAGCATGTTAAATATTATATTTCTATGTGGAGACAATATGCACTTTGTTAATAGGTAAGAATATTGTACAAACACAAAAACTTTTGCAAAATACTCTCATTTATTCTTTTTTAATTGGGTTATATACTTATAATTTCACAAACAATAATATATCTATATTTTATTTTAGTTTCATATACCTTTCAATACAAATGTTCTAATAGAATAATGAAACTCGTGTAATAATTCTAAAATATACTTTTTTTCTTAGTACAAAAATACAAAATGATAAGTAACATGACGAGTAAAAATGTATACGTATTGTTAACATTATTTAGTTTTAACTCATTTCTTTATTTCTGATTTAAAAGGTTTTCAAGAAAAGCATTTTAGCAAGGGGTGTATCACTTGGTTAAAAAATGTAGGTACATGTACTGCCAAAGTATCATTTTACTGCTAAGTGACTGCCAATGACTGCGAAGAAGACTGCCTACGTCTGCCATATAATTATAGTCGACTGATGCCAACGACTGCCAGCCATTTAGTACCAAAAAAAAATGTACAAGTAATTCCAACAGTGAGACGCCCCTCGCATTTAGTAATTTCTGATACATGTACACATGCATATCACAAAACATTGTTTCTCTGATATACTAAATCAAATAGAAAATTACCATTGCGGAAATAGTGAAAAAAAAGAAAATTCTAAATCGGAGAGTTCAATAGAATCAAAATCAATCATTGAGTAATGAATATTTTTATGGATATTTTTCTCAAATCACTTGATATTCCTTCCTATTTCTAATAGTCCCTGTGCTTTTGACCTAATCGTCAGCTGTCACTGAATGTGGAAAACTTTGGTAATTATTTCGGGAATCTATCAAGTAGATTAATATTTTATTTTTGGTTATTTCCGACTGACTACAGAAACATATTTAGTGAGTGTGTATAAAATAGAGTAATATCCGATTAATCTAGTGCAGAAAAAATAGTCGACAAAAGTGAGCATTTTGTTCCTTTGGGTATAGCGTCTTTGGTATCATACTAAATAACAAAAAAAACACCTAATTCTAATATTGCTAATTTTGATATAGTACATCTCAATTCTGTTCCCGACTTTCCGATGCTACGTCATCATCTTGTTGACTTAAACTACCAAAAAGCGACGGATGGTAATAATTAAAGTAAGGAAACAATTGTACTTGACTAGAGTATTGCTGACATAAACTCAACATCGACTCCTGTAACATTTTCGGATATTTCTGTCCCATAGATTTATTGAGCTGATCGTATACAAAGAACTCGTTCTTTCCAGCTTCTGGAAAGTAGCTGGGTTTTTGATATAGAGTTGGTTTTTGTTGAAGGAAGATGGGAATGTCGTCTTTAACTAATACTTTGACTGCGACCTTCCTGGCGTTGGAGTTGAGTAAGTTAGATTCTTGCATTTGGAGCTGTTTCCGCTTGGTCTTGTATCGTCGGTTCTGGTACCATATTTTAACCTGCAAAAAATATAATTTGTTAATTTCCTAAATGTATTTATTTTCATTAATATAGGATAATAATAAAGGAAATGTATAATATTTAATACTCTCTTTATACAAGTCCTTTGGAGTTATTTATCCTAGAAAAAATTATCTTGGTCGAAAGCAATAGAAAAATGAAATGCTATAACCATAAATGCAACTGATACCAAATGAATTTCAAATTTATTTTAATTTAAGTTACATAACCTTTCGGTCAGTCAGACTGACTGCCAAGTTAGACCAATATCAACCGCCAGAGCAAACCGGATTCAGATCAAGTTAAGATTAAATTGTTCAAATGTCATATAATAATGGCGGCAGCTCTCATGGAATTGAGCGATCAGAAAATTATCATAAATCATTTTTTTTCAAATGGAAACTCCCTTTTTTTATTTCACTAGTGAAAAGGTTTTTCGTTACTTTTTAACTATATGTTCGTCTACCTAAAATAAATCGTTTTTAAGTTATTTAAGATTCAGTTTGAAAACGTATATTTTTCTTGATTTTATCTAGCTTCCTTTGACATTAAGTGTCAAACAGTCAGACAATTTATTTCCATCTGTCAGAAAACGAATTATTTGAATTTCCTATATAATAAATACTGCCTGCCTTAAGAGTTTAAAAAGTGTATTTATAAAAATAAATCTCGTATTTTCCCTCTTTAGTGATATCTAATAGTTATTAATAGATATTAATTATTAATAATAACCGTATGATAGAAAAAAAACGGCGCAAAATTGGCTTGGAAATGATTATCGATAACATACTGCTTTTTGAACAAAGTGTCACAATATGACATGGCCAGATCAATTGTTTTCAATATCACTTGACGTTCATGGTCGTAGGCTACTCTTGAAAATGAAGCAAAATATACGCTTTAAAACTGAATCTTAAATAACTTAAAAACGATTTATTTTAGGTATAGGAACATGTATAGTCAAAAAGTTGACGAAACGAATTGAACAGCCTTTTCCCTAGTCAAATAAAAAAGTGGGTTTCGATTTGAAAAAATGATTTACTTATGATTTATTTACATGATCATTTTTTAATCGCTCAATTCCATGACAGCTGCGGCCATGCATTATATGACATTCGAACAATTTAATTTTTGAAATAGATAGCCACATGTCTTGTCCTGTCAACTTGTCACCTGTCTGTGGTAATCACTAAAATTGATGTTTAGACTGTTTAGACTATAAACATATTTTCGCCAGGCAGTTTTTTTCGTCCAAAAATTTTAAATAATTTTTTTTCTCAAAAACGGTTAATGTCAGGTATTGAATGTTTAATATAAAAATTCATAAAAATTTACAGAGAATTTAAGTATGTTATAAAAAATGGTGACACCTATTTAAATTAAAAAAGTTGCTATATTGAAAATATTTTTAATCGATAGATCTCGTTGTAAAACAATGATGTGCAAAAAATCTCCGATCTAGATATTGTAGTTGTCTAGAAACTTCTAATGTACGCTCAGTCTGGGACACCCTGTGTATTAACCAATATCAAATAGAAGAGACAACTGCTTATAAGTAGGTACCTGGGACCGAAATACATGTAAGCCGCGATAACCAAACTTACAAGCTCAACAGACGAATAGGACTGACTTGGGCCGCCTATGGACGATTGAAATACATTTTCAAAGGGGTACTTCCGATATGTTTGAACAGAAAGGTATTCAGTGCGAACTACCTGTTAGAACGTATGGTGCGGAGACCCTAACATTAACCAAGAAAACAGTAAGCAAAATCAGAATAACGCAAAGAGCAATGGAAAGATGTTGGAGCTATCTCTGAGAGACAAAGTACCGAATATCGAAGTACGGGGGGTGGGGGGAGACAGAACAAAAGCCATGGATGCCATGGAAAAAATAAGTACCTACTTTGAAATGGAATTTGGCAGGGCATATTGCATATTGCAAATGGAGACCACGACATGATGCATTCAGGAGTACAGGGGATCCTCCAACCAACTGTAAGTAATAAAACAAAGTAAATGGATGCAAATAGCTTAAGATAGGGAGTTATGGAAGCAAACGAGAGAGGTCTGCGTCCAGCCGTGGACTTTAGTGGCTGGTTAATGATGATGATGATGACGATGAACCTTTTGGTCAGTGTATTACTGATCGTTTTACTGAGCTTATATATTAGAGCATTCTATTCACCCGTGAAAAAGTTGGATGCAGTCAAGCGCGAGACATGGCAGCATCGGCGGTCCATTTGATAAATGGTGGCCAGATTGTGTAAATTTTCATACTTGAATTACTAAAGGTTTTTGTTTGATAGAAAAGAGGCTTTTATAAATTTACATTTTTTCCAAAGTTCCCTGTGGACAACCTGCCTGATCTTTTCTGATGTTCCTTTTACATATGAAATAGCCAAGAAAAAGAGAGCATTTTCCTCAGGGTGGTGCGCCAAACGGTCAGTTTTATAATTTGATATAATTTTGTCCAGGGATGTCTCAGAAAAACCATAATGAAGTAAATCCGTTTTAATGTTATTTATTTCAGTAATTAATGATGATTGCGCATTGCATACTTATGGTGTTAGTTCGATGATATAAAGTTTTAACTATTTCTTAGTTGCCTGAGAATAGTTTGACTAAAAACTTAAATACCGCCTCGTATGTAGTGGCAATAGTTGTCCAATTTCTACTGACAAGAACATCTACTGTTCAATTTGCGAAGTTTGAAACTTTCGTCACATATATTGTCATTCTCTCTCTAATCCATATTTATCGCATGAAATGGAAATTTTGCGTCAAAAACGTAAGTCACCGTCATTGCGTATAACGGATACTACTTCCATGTCTAATGTGCACAAATAGAAAAGGGTAAACATCGTATTTGTATTTGTACTCTGAGTAAAATTCATATAAATTTGATCCACAAAATCAAAAGAGTTGCTTATATTACATTTAGACTTACACGTACATTGCCACTTGCGACCAAATTGAGATTCTTAGCAGCACGATTTTTTATGTGGTAAGAAGTAAGGAAATAAACAAAAATAAAGTTCCAATTAGTAATGTTCATAAATTAGAATATTGAGAAAGTAAGCATATGGGTAGTTTTAGCAAATTTTTACTCTTTGGCTATAATTTGTATATTTTACAGTATACAAATTGTTCAATATGAATTTGTAAGGCATGCAACAGGCCCCTCAAACGTGTTCCGTCGAACACGTTTGAACACCGGTAGTTACTATCAAGTATACCTGTAACCGCAGAGAGTTGTATATTGGAGAGACAAAACGTTCTCTAAATCTACGACTTAACAAACACAACATGTAAAAAGGGGTGACAGTATGAAGTCAGATACCGCAGACCATGTGTGGTCCAAACAGCACAATATAAAGTGGTAGCTCGGGTTGGCCAGAAGGAACCTCGTTGGAAAAAATGTAATTTTAAAGAAGCCGTTTTTATATCTACCAACAATAACATCTTTAGTAATGTAAGTATACCAACTTTCACAATTTGGCCATCACTTATGAAAGTGACCAATGCTGGAAACATCAGCGGAGAACCTCGCGCTTGACTGCACAGCAGCGGCGTGCGGTCCATGGAAGCGGGGAAAGCACCGCTTGCCTAAACTTTTTAAAGATAAAAAATTAAATAGTTAAACGTTAATAATACTGTTATTTTATAACAAAAGATTAATTTAATTTGTTAAAATTATTTATTTGAAGCTTTATATAAACGTAGTAAATTTAATGAGCCTTTTCCTGCATGGATGCGCGCCTGGAAATCGCCGCCGGTCGCCTATCCCTCCTTCATGTAGGTGTTATTGACCTCGAACGCAAACGACAAATTTAAGCCAGAAAATCGCGCACAGTTGCTAGCCACGGCAGCGTTCTTTCGGCCGCCTTCCTCGACTTTCAATTTATCGAGACGGGTTCGCTTGCGATTTTATAGGTAATATTGTATTTTTTTGGATTTAACTTACCTAGTGTTTACTGTTTCGTTTGTAATGGCGGGTCAAAGAGGTCTGCTGCTAGCGTGGACAATAATTTAGACTGTGTTTGTGTTGTATGTGTGTTATTAAAAAAGGGATTTTCTAGTCGGAACTTCCAAGAAAAAAGTGACATTATTAAGTCTGGTAGGCCAACGGTTCCTATCAATTTGGAGACCAGAGTGGAGAATTCGGTAAAAAAATTCACTAGACATTTTCATTTTGGGTTTTACGACAAATATGAGTGGTTAACCGGCTGCAATAAATTATCCAAATTATTTTGTTGGCCCTGTTTACTTTTTAATATAAGTGAGAAGACTACAACTGATATTGGGGATAACTGTATAATAACTGGGGGACAAACTATTGGGAATAACTGTAGCCGGGATTACAGATTTAAATAATTTTCACAAAAATGTAAAAAGGCATGTCAATAGTAAAGGATATTTAATTGCTACTATAAAAGAAAAATCTTTTGGAACAATTCGAATTGAACATAGTTTGGATAATCAATGAAAAATTAGTAGCAAACTGCATAATGAACGGGTCAAAAAAAGTCAAATGCATCGGGTCAAGTGCTTCGGAAAATTAATTTAAAATATCGTATTTTAACTATTATAACTTTATGTGTTTTTGTTTGTTTAACAATTTTCGATAGAATTTTAATCGAACAATGGAATTAGCCTCGGAATTTTCAAAGGTAAGTTTTTTAAGAAAATGTAAAAGTAGAGATACAATATAGTTAATTTCTACACTACCAAGTTCTCAAAAAAATTTATTATTATTAAAAAAACACACCACAATTGCTTCCATATTTCAAAAACGACTATGAATCTCAAAGATAAAACAGTCTCTCATAAATCTCAACTCACCTGCGTCTCCGTCAACTTCAACGCGGCCGCCAAGTCGGCCCGTTCCGGCCCGCTCAGATACCGCTGCTGGCTGAAGCGACGCTCCAGCTCGAACACCTGCGCGTGCGTGAACGCCGCCCGCGATCTCTTCTTTCGTCCGGCGCCTCCGGAGTCGCGCCCGGACTCGTCCGAGGCCGCGGCGGTGCAGCGATTGGTCGAGGCCGCGGGAGGTGGCGAAGAGTAACTAGGCGGCGAAGGCGAGCGGGGGCTGGTAGACGGCGAGTCTGGAATGAAAAGAGGAGGGGGTGAATGAGAGTGTTAAAAGGGCCCTACACGCAACGATATCTGAGAAATTTGAACTGTAGTCTTTCGATTCGGTCCAAATCTTAACGTGTAGTGGCGGCTTCGATAAAGATCTCATCGAAGAGATAAGATCTACGATAAAAAATGTTTATACCTATGTGGGAGATTCATTTCTCCAAAAAATCCTATATGGGTATTTCGCCACTGCAAGAAAATCTACAAAATAAAATAGTTATTTTTTGTAAACACTTCTGCGTTAACCCAAACGGACACCACTTGTCAGAAGTTAGATATACAAACTTGCTTAACGAACAAAAAAATGCTTAACGTTTCGGAAAGTTTATTTCTTTCCGTCGTCGGAAGCAAAAAAAAATACAAAGAATAAAGAAAAAACTATTTAAAATGTTTAAATTCAACTATTCGAGAACACTTTAGTTTTTTAAAACAGATACGTCTACAAAAACCGTTGACGTTCTGTTAAAATGACATTATATCCAGTTAAACTTCAAAATTGAAAATTACTACCTGACATTTTCTTACTAAGGTAAAACCAAAAAGACCCAAACTTTGTTTATGATTATTTTTAAATTGTTACGTTATGTTCTTTAGAATCAAAGAAGCGTCTAACATCTACAGGTGCATGAGCATGAGCAATACATTTATTTTTATTATATTGTATTAAAAAAGCCTCTTTTATTTTTCTTTTAGAGGCTATCGCTTCTTTCATTATAATTTTGGCGTTATTAAAATTTATTCTGTGCCCTGTATCCCATGAATGCTGACAAATCTTAGATTTGTGAAAATCTCACTTTCTTAAATAATCTTTATGTTCTTTAATTAGAACATTTAAGGGCCTAGATGTTTCACCAATGTAAAATTTATCGCATTCACATGCTATTTTGTATATTATATTACATTTTTTGTTTGTTGTTCTGTATTCATTGGTTTAGTATATGATAAAATAGATCTAAGTGTATTTTGTGTTTTTAAAGATGTTCATCAGAATTGTTTACAAAAAATAACTATTTTATTTTGTAGATTTTCTTGCAGTGGCGAAATACCCATATAGGATTTTTTGGAAAGATCTGTGATCTTTCAACATGCTGAATGTTTTTAATTGCAAAGACTAGAGATTTTGCAGCAACTGTACTAGGCTACTATTGACTTGCAATCTAGTATTGACTGACAAAATTATCTTTTATAGAATCTGAACGTATAATGTGAAGAAACCGCTATCGATTTGGTCTTGAGAGTCCATTTCACTAGTCAGAAAAAGTAGCAAAATAAGCGTTCGGCATTTAATGTTTTCTGTAAAACTGGCTAGGTATTTTACAGAAAATAAGAAGGAAATTAAAGATAAAAGATTATACTATATCCGTATTGTAACACATTTTTAGACAACTTCTTTATTTTTAAGATTTTGAAGGTCAAACATCAACAAAATATTCCTTACGTTTGGACTAAATTTTCTCGAAAATAAAGACAATTTAAAATTCCGTTACAATATGGAAATAGATTGAAGTTTTGTGATTATAGTGATATATAATTCATATGGTTTTGTAACAAATTGCTCGCTATTTTATGGCAAATGCTGAAGCTCTGCAAACCTTAAACAAGCCTTAATCAAAGCACGTTTGGAATTTTGGGTGTGGCTTAACACTTAACACGACAGGATCGGGCTAAGCCTTAGGCAGATTTCTGAAATATAATATATATTTTCTTCGGCCACACACTAGCTTTACCCGATCCCTGAGAGCGACCCGAACTGTACAGCGTAATAGACTTTTAAGACCTCAACTATGCGATTTGGTATGCAGATCAAATCATTGCGTGGGCCCTACACATAACGATTTGATCTTTCGTCGAGTCGACCGGTCCGAAGCAGTGCGCGGGGTTTTGCCGAACACTCTGATGATTACATTTATTTTTGTGTATACCAAAATCTGCCGATAACTCTTAGTCAAGTCAACCACTCCGAGTCGATTCAGCGTGCGTCCTTCCTAAGGCTGCTGACAAACCAGCATATGTCTACCTATACATGCCTATACATTTGTAAACTCGTCTAGTAGAGTTTGTCAAACACAAACTAGCAGCCCACAAATCCGTATATACATGTCGCAGTTGTATACACACGTAAGCTGTGAAACAATTCTATGAACATGCAAACTAAGCATGTACATTACATGCTTAGTTGCTTACGAATTCTTGTATTCCCACGAAGTTATAAAACTTGTGCTAGAAACATGTGTAAGTTTATTTGAATACACACTAAAACAAAGCGCAAATCGCAACGTGCTAGTTTGCAGGACATAAATATCTGAACAAATGTATGCTGATCTTTGGGAACTATGTAGTTGATAACAAACCTATTAAATAAAAAAAAACTAAAAAATTTATGCAGTTCTATGGAGAACTTCTTTTAGTTCTGAGAAGTTCATCAGAACTTCATCAGAACAAATTTTAAAAATAAAAATGCTGAAATGGATTAGAGTAACCACTGAGCAAAATTATATGAATCCTTTTTTTGTCGCCGCACATAAGACTAATAGGCCAGTGCAAATAATTTTGAATTTGCAAAAATTTTTAGAAAGCTGCGACCATTGAAAATAGTTAGCATTAGTAACCCTTATTAACATAAGGTGTGTGCGTCATCAAAAAAGATCTGCCGCCATCTTGAATTTTGGTACTTTTTGGGGAAAAATGTTTTGGGAAAAACCGTGCGTTCTAGTGAAGAACTCCAAGAGATAAAAATTAAAGAGAATAAAAAACTCTATTAGCATCAATAAAAAATAGTTTATTATCCTAATGCAGTGACGTACAAAATTTTTTGGAAAATCGAGCAATTTTTAAAAGGAATCACCGAAATGCAAATTACTAATTATTTAAGCTTATTAACAAATAACATGAATATTTAGCATCAATTCAACTAAAATACAATCTTTGTGACATTTTCAAGAAATATTTATTGATTGTTTAATAATATTTCAAAATTAACAAAAATTGTAAAAGCTATCCTTTACTAAATACATGTGTACTAATAATGTACGAAAGCAGCCTCCACCTTGTCCCGGTTGGAGCTATTTGCATTTAAACCAAAGTTTCTTTGTTACCATTTTGTAAACAACTTGTTTTTAAAAATATATACAGTGACAGTTTGAAAAATTAGGCTACAGGTTGGAAGAAAAAAATAAAATGTAAAGTACTCGCGAATGTCTTTTTGACATAAATATCATTTACGATCTTAACACTTTTTCATTATGATAAATACATTATAAATATACCCCTACAAATTGAATAACAATAATTCAAATTATGACCATTTTAATAAAAATGTGTTACCAACTTGTAACCTAACTTTTCAAACTGTCATCTCTAGAAAAAAATTAACTTTACAATTTTATTCGATTTGTTCTTCATCGACCGATATTTGTTTGTTGTAGCAAGAAATACCATTACAGTTACCACACAAGCTTGAACATGACATATTGGATTTTAAACATGTACATAGTTTATTACATCCAGATTTGCAATTACAGTAAATCATTTTCAATACAAATTCTGGTGCCACTGCGTTTGACATTGTTTTTGGAACTAAGGTATCCGTTTTTTTAGTCCATCCCCATTCTGTTGCCTCTTTTCCGTTATTTAGCCAATACTGAATACTGCATTTGTAAATGATATATAATAATGATTTTCAGCTGCGTTAGCTGTTGGAGGTAAGGTAGCTAAATCAAAATTTTTACTAAGTACCTGACGAGATCTAAGGGTTTTATATTTATAATACCTCAACTGATCTAAATCTTTTCTATGTCGACCATATAATGAAAATAAGAATGTATTTCCAGCTTCGACTAGCTCAGATTTTTGTGCTGCAGGATCTAAAAGAACGGATGTAATTTGTCGCAGTTGAGGATCTTTTTGCAACGTTTTGAAAGTCGCCAGTTTACCTTTTTTAAACAAGCACGAGGTTGTATCACATCCTGATATAGCATGTGCAAATAAGATTGAATGCTTCATGTTACCAATCTTGTTCTGCATATTACCGATGTCCGATGTCAGTTACTCTAGGAGGTTTGGACGATTTTCCAGGCCGAAGCATAAAAATAGAATTTTTTGTCCGATAATGCAGTAATAAAACTAACAAATCAGTATCTGTAGCCTAATTTTTCAAACTGTCACTGTATTTTTAAAAACAAGTTGTTTATAAAATGGTAACAAAAAGACCTTGGTTGCAAAGTGCAAATAGCCCCGACCGGGACAAGGTGGAGGCATCTTTCGCACATTATAGTACACATGTATTTAGTAAAGAATACACTTTTACAATTTTTGTTAATTTTGAAATATTATTAAACCACCAATAAATATTTCTTGGAAATGTCACAAGGATTGTACTTTAGTTGAATTGATGCTAAATATCAATGTTATTTGTTAATAAGCTTAAAAAATTAGTAATTTGCATTTCGGTGATTCCTTTTAAAAATTGTTCGATTTTCCAAATTTTTTTTATTGATTCTGATTTTTTTATTCTCTTTAATTTTTACCTCTTGAAATTTTTCGCTATAACGCACCGTTTTCAAGTTATTTACATTTATTCCCAAACAGTACAAAAATTCAAGATGGCGGCCGATTTTTTTTGATGACGCACACATCGGACAAATGGGGACTTTTAGTATGTTAATAAGGGTTACTAATGCTAACTATTTTCAATAGTCGCAGCTTTCTAAAAATGTTTGCAATTTCAACATGGTAAATGTCATAACTGCACTGGGTTATAAGTTATATTAGCACAACAATGTCCTGTTTTGAAGACGATATTAAAAAGTGTGCGTAAAAATCAATATACGTCAATATATTATAAATTGTTAAGAATTTAACGAACGAATAATTTTCCTCCAACAATTATATTTTTTGGGTATATTTTTTCTATTTGTGGGCATACTCCAATTCATGTGGTCAATTCAATGATCAAATTTATTCAAGG